GATTTTTGTAACAACTTTGACAATTATTAAGCTAATTAACCCAATCTCTTCCCAAATCTCCTCCCCAAAATTCTCAGCCACTCCTCCTATTCCCCGAATTTCAGCAGGTCCAACAGGATTCTTTTGCAGCCAATCCTTCTTCTTCAAAATCCTCAGCCAGACTATGATCTCCCTCAGAATCTCACCCTCAATTTCACTCGCGAAAATTCTCAAATTTTTCTGCAATTTTCTCCTTTGGCGAGACAAACATGGCAACCGCGTCATCCGACCGCAAGCAACGAGCCTCGAATTCCGACGGCCAGAGCAACCCTAGGTCGCGAGACCCAAATCCTTGCTCCGTTCCAGCGCCGCGTCGATCGTGAAACTCATCGGCGTTTCGAGACATCCCGGCGAGTTCGAGCTCACATCTGACTTCCGGTAACCCTCCTCGCATCCGACCTCGAGCCGTGACTGGATACCTTCACAGCACCACAGAGTCGACCGACCTCGAAATGCGTTCGACTACGTACATAGAGGAGAGCCTTTTCAGCAATCAACCAAGCCGACACAAGCGCACTCCGGAAACCGAGCAACCTTTTACTTCCGGTGTATGTGTTCCTTTTTTATCCGACAGAAGGTATATTGGCTAACATGACTCTTGAGTTTGATTGGTGTTGGAATTTGCTTAGAATATTTTGATCGTAACTGTCGAGCCTATTATTTTTCCAAGTACCGAACCTCTGCTGTTGGCATTTTTCCAAAAAGCATTTGTGAAGCTTGAACCTTTTTAGGCCAAACGACCGTCACTGGAGCAAACCAATCGTCCAGCTTGCAAATTCGTGTTAAAGGCATCTCAGCCTGCCCGACGTGCCCCGACTCAAGTATGCTCTCGCGGATGTCGCAGCCGCGCCTGGCGCTGTACCAGCTCCTCCTACGCCGTCCAGCCGTTCTGGTGTTTTAGTCTTTTTTTTAACAACTTTGACAACCTTTTTTGAGATTTATATTTTATTTTATTTTATTTTTTTTTTGTAACTTTGATACTTATCTACACAAAATATCGAGCTTTAAATGTGTTGCATACGATCTTTTCTTATGTTTATGGGTCTTTGAAGGTAAGTGGAAGGAGGAAATCATCTTGGTCGAATTTATTTGCTTCAGGGTGCCTAGAGCTAAGGGAACAGAGAAGAGAATTGCTTGGAAGAACTAGGGGAGGCTTACTCTCAGTAGTCCTAATCAAGGTATCATCTCTGCTGATCAACGAAAGGTATCCTGCTTCTGTTGATGGTTGAGGGTTCTGGCTAGGGGATGTGAATCTTAGTGGTTGGTTCCTTTAGCTTGGTTGTTCTTTCAGTTTCTATATTTCTAGCTTGGCTTTTGCATGTAGAAGGGGTTTAGCTTTTGGTTTTGTTGCAGGCTATCATTTCTTTTTTTCTGTCATTCCTTTTGTTGTTCTTTCATGTGCTAGATTAGGCTGTGTTCAGCTTATTTTTGGTTTTTGGTGTTGATAGTGGTTATAGCTTTGTTTGTTTAGTTCCTTATTGGCTTATTATCCCTTGGTGCTGTAAACCCAGGTGGATTTTTGTATATTTGTAACTTCAAG